GAGTTTAGCTCTAACCCTAATCAAACACACCTGAGCATGCTAATCAATGTCTTCAGGATCATTAGAAAACCACAGGTAGCTGAGTTTGATCAGGGTTGGAGCTAAACTCTGCAGCGCATTGGACCTCCAGGGTAAGATTTGAGGAACCCTGTTCTATGGCATCGCTTGAAGAACCTTTTGAAGCACCTTTATTTTTATGAGTGTAGGGCTATTGCAAACAGAACTTTGCTGTTCCGATGAGCATGAACGGTATATGAGTGGAGCACTCACATGGGCCGTGAGCGACTGAGCAGGGCACACACATGCATAGAGCGGGATAATACGCAGAGCGTCACACCACGTGAAAGTGAATCCTGAGTGGTGAACTAATTTTCGGCAGCCGGAATTTCAGTGCATCTCTAATTTTTGGTGACATCAGAAATGGATATTATATAATAGCTGCTTTTTTGAACATTTTAGCAATTTAAAAATATTATAAAAGGATTTTTTACGCGGCACCCCTGCTCTCGACAGATGGCATCCCGGTTGGGAAACACTGGACTAGAGTAAAGGATGCTGAAATTAAAATTTTTAAATATATTACAATTATTTTAAATTGTAATAACATTTCACAATATTACCGTTTTTACTGTGTTTTTGATGAAGTTCTTAATTGTTCTGAAAATAAATTTTAATGGTCCTAAATAGGTATCATTTTGTTTAAACAAATTCACCCATGGCATGTCATGAAGTAATGATGCTGAAAATTCAGCTTTGCATCACAGGAATAAATTACATTGTAAAATATATTTGAATAGAAAGCATTTATTTTAAATTGTAAATAACATTTCACGACATCTGTTTTTATTGCATTTTTGATAGGGATGCACGACTTTTGTCGATATTTTTCAAAGAATTTTGGTCGATAACCGATGCTGATACCGATATATATTTCCTTTTGTTTTGAAACAATACCAAGTCTCTCCTGTGCAGAAATTATAAATTATTTTTTAACTTTGGTTAGTTTTGAGCAAAACCTTATTTGTTTAGAACTTATAAACATTATTAAAGTTCTTTTTTTAATGAGAGCATGTTGAAAGCATTGAAAATAAATATAATAAAATCAATCTCGGCTGTTTTTTTGCTTTGTTTTGTTTTTGTCTAGATGCAATTGAAACCTGAAAATTTTATTTGTGGATTTTACATTAATAGATGGTCTAAAGCAAAAGAGCTGTAAATATTCTAAAAATCTTTTAGAGCTCCTTGTATTTAATAATCCATTTGAAAAATATGTTACATATTAATGAATAATCTGTATATATTAAATTATTCAATTTACAAGTCTAATGTTTGTGATTTTTATTCATGTAAGCAATAGCTTCAGACCTTTAAATCAAAACAGATTTGTGATTTTATGACACCAATTACTGCTTTATTATGCCTGGGAACAACAATAAAGGTTATACTGGTTCACATGTCTCATTCTTAATAAAATGGTTCTCTCTGACACTAGCTAAAACTTAAATAGTGTTTACTTTTACTCAACATTGTAAACTTCCTGAACTGAAAGGCCCCGTTAGAACCTGAGCCAGCATAATCATACCCATCGACTATATTTTAAAAATATGTAGTTTTTCACATCCCAACTTTTGTTTCTAAAATCAAAGTCTACATAGATGATAAGCTTCAAACTGATGCACTAGCAGAATAATGCACATGCGGTAAGTGCTGGGATGTTTTTGTACACAGCGCCATCTAGGTGTCATTGCTGGGAAATGATGTTCTATAAAAAAATCTTTTGACATTAATGATCCAGCCATTGTTTATTATCAAATGGTACATGAAAAAAATAATAAATTAAATTTTTTGTTTTCTTGTCAGAGAGAAGCTGGAGAAGAGATACGTGGTGTCTCAGTTTCCTGTTTCATGTAGTGGGGTTGCCAGAGTGAGCCCTTCCAGTCATATCGGATCCCTGACACGCGCACACTCTGGAAGTGGTACTGTACACAGACTTCTGAAAAATAAACTAATTAATGAATATGTTTAAACTATTTGCATCTAAATTAAAATATTCAAAAGTTTAAAGTATAGTATATGCCATATACTTGTATGAATTAAAGAGGTTATGATTATTTTGTGTGTGTGTTTGTGTATGTAAAGAGCTACGGGTAGATGTTGAGAACAACTCGTTGCCCATTCCACGGGACAGCAGTTGCTCCTCAGGCTATTCCAGTGCTCCTTCCAGTCCAATGACCCCTTTATCACGTGACACTTCCTTCGACCGGGTTAAAGACCCTCACAGACGTAAGAACTGATGTTTTTTTAATTAATATTTTTATATGTATATATACTGTATACAGTATATTATTTAAGTAGATCATAGATCAAGAAAGAGATATTTGAAATGCCTGTTAGCGGTTGGCCTAAAAATGTAAGGTGAAATAATGATTAAATAATTGCATGTCATTTCATTTTAGGTCTATATCTCCTTTCAGGTTTAGAGTCTGGTTTGGATCCTTGTGAGAAAGAGCGGTCATGCTTTCTCCTCAATCCTGTGGTATCCACCGGTCCCAGCCGTCCCACTGCCCAAGTCCTACCGGTCCAGAACGATCCCTCCCTCTGTCCCTCCCAAATGAGTTTGCCCCCACCATCCTTGCCCCTCCCCTCCCCAGGCCGCGTTCTCAACTCTCCCCGCAAACCTCGTCCACCCCCTCTCTGTTCAGAAGAACGTCCCAAACCGATGGGGTCTGGGGTCACTGTGGGTGTCCGGCTGGAGAACATCTTCCGTGGGTTGAATCTTGATGGTTCTCCGGGGCACCAGGACATGTCGGTCCCCCGTGGGCCCCTCACAGTGCTTTGCTCCCCTCCAGGTCTCATGGTGGAGACCAGCACTGCTCTCACCTCCACGTCTAACACCCTCCATCATGTTTCTCACCCACCCTTACACTTACAAGTGTCTTCTGTTCCACGCACAGGATCGTACCCTTTCTCCACCTTGTCCTCCTGCCCGTCATCGAGTTCCTCCACTAGACCCTCCTTCTCGCCTATCAGTGGAGTTCCAATAGCAACGACCAGCAACGTTCCCATGGCGGCAGTACCCGGCAACACCTACTGCGTAAACAGTACATCCGCAGTCACGCCCAGTTCTAGCCCAGCATCCACAGAGAATAGCGGCTACGCCTCAGTGCAAGCAAACAGCGCTAACTCCAGTTCCTCGTTGTGCGTTTGTAGCTCTTGCGGTTGTAGCGGTAACTGTGGCTCCTATGGGGCACTTCCAGCTAGCTACGCCGGATACTTTCCTCATCCGTTTTCAGGAACGTCAGTATTCACGTTAGGGCCTTTGCTTCATTTCAGCCCCCTCCTTACAGGAAGTGGTACCGCCTCCCCCTTTTCCTACCCCTTGGTGGCCCCACCTATTTACAACAGCAGTCTATCACATGACTCGCAGCAAAATATTGTGCTTCCACCAGTGCAGGGTTTTCTAGGGGGAGGGGGTGGTGTGTACCAGCCCCATGGAATGATGGGAAACGGAAGCTCTGGGCATAAGAAAACAGGGAATGTGTCCTGCTATAACTGTGGGCTGAGTGGGCATCGAGCACAAGACTGCAAGCAGCCAGCAATGGACTCTGCACAACAAGGTAACAGCATTGTTTTTAAGTAGTGCTTGCAAACTCCTAACACCTTAGCAACCACCCAGAACATCCTAAGAGCAAATTAGCAACACCCAAGAAGCCACCTAGAATACTTTTGCAACTGTCTAGAATAACTTTAGTAACTACAGGAAGCACTCTAGCAACCATAAAGCAACACTAAATCATGTGGAGTCATAAACCATTCCACATACCACATAGTAACACCCTAGCAACCACTTAGAACACCCTATTTGTTCCAAAGAAAACACACACAAAAAATAAAAGTACATAGAAGTGACCCAGAACACTCTAGCAACCATCTAGAATACCTCAGCAACTGTAGAGTAGCATGCTAAAAGCCACATAACATCTTATCAATCACTAGGGATGTAACGATTCACTCAACTCACAATTCGATTCTAATCGAATCACGATTTTGATTTCACGAATCGATTCGATTCACGATTTTTTTTTAACAAAATGAGATTTAAGTCATTATAAATTAAATGTGTCCTTTTATTTTTGCCTGGACAAAATGCTCCACGTTTCTTTGTGAAATTGAAATATAACACTATAATAATATATTAATATAGCACTTGCTCTTTTGTTGGTTTTGATTGCTTCTATTGTCCTCATTTGTAAGTCGTTTTGGATACAAGTGTCTGCTAAATGACTAAATTTAAATATAATGTAAATGTAAATAACAAAACTAAATTGAAATTTTAAAACAAGTCCCAAATCAAATAAATAAGTAACACAAATAAAATATATCTCTTCATATAAACAAAATTAGGCTTTGTCTGTGCTCTTTCCATGTAAAATTAGAGGCAACCACTGCATTTTAATCACAATCCAAACAAAGATGCTGCATACATGCAACATGAGTTGTTTTTAATCTAAATTAGATTGTATAATTTAAAAATTTGAAACAAAAACAGAATGGTTTGACTATACATACGAAAATATCAGCATGAAACAGAAACAGCAGACGAGCTGAATGAGACGCAGATACACTCTCTGCCAGCAGGTGGCGCTTAAAGCGTTTCCTTGGTTTCGGCTGTAAACAAAGCAACACTGCACTTATGAACTTTAATATGCATTATAAAAAGAAAATATTACCATCTAAACTTTTCTAAAGACACTAAGTTCCCTTCAAACATACATTCATATTAACTCCTACCTCTAAATGAATCGCGATTTGTTTAGCATCTCAACCAATTTGAATCGTCACATATTTGAATAAATTTTCAACCGGCTCGCGGTTAATCGTTACATCCCTATCAACCACCCATGGCCACCGCTCAGAACACTTTTGTAACCTCCGCAACCATAGAGCAGCTTCACTCAGAACACCTTAGCAACCACTCAGAATACCCTTGCAACTGTCTAGAATAACCCTAGCAACCACTCAGAACATTCTAACAACCATAAAACAAATGCTAACAAAACAGTACTCATAGATTCTTAGCAAAACCCTGAAAACCACCCAACATTTTATTTTATTTAATAGTTCATTAGACAGGGACAATGGACAGTCCATGACTGTGGACAGTCCAATGCCCCAGAATTAGCTACAGAGCTCAATTTCATCTGCAGAAAACATTCAGAATACCTTAACTGCATAGTATCTCTCCTGGCAACCATCTAAATGGATCTAACCCACCTGGAAACACCCTAGCAACCATTGAGTTATGTGCCATAAACCATTCCGCAAACATTAGGAACCACATACGTTTGTGACAACCATCCAGAACACATTTGCAACTGCCTAGAAACACTCTAGCAACCATTGAGGATTAAATCACGGCACAAACTTTAGCAACCATAGAGAATTGCACCAAAAACCATTTAAAAACATAAGATGCCCCAGAACAACCTAGCAACCATTGAGAATACCTTAGCAACTGCAGAGCAGCATCAACACCTTAGCAACCAACCACCTAGAAACTATGACAGCCACCTAGAAACACCTCGCAACCATATAATAACATCACTCAGAACGCCTTAGCTACCACATAGCAATACTCTAGTAAAAATAAGCCTAGCTTTGTAGCAAAGACTTTTGTGTGTGCAAACACCAACCATGGTTTCTTCAGAAATATTAAAAAGTTATTATTATTTTTGCTTTTTGTTTTTGCAGGGACGTTTCGTCTGAAATATTCCCCGCAGTCAGACAGCCAGGACTCAGGAGATTAAATGGTGCGAATGAACTGTGTTGAACCTGCACCTTCCTCGGTGTGTAAAGACACTTGACGTGAGACTCCACTGAGCAAAGACATTACAGAATCTCTTTACAGGAGGATCGAGCGATGGAGTTCCATCAGTTATGACTTCCGATGAAAGCCTTGTGCCAAAGAATCACTTCACTGTGGATCTTTGTAAAAGTATGTTCAAAGAAGAACTCAAACACTCATTGCGTTCTTCAGTTCTCTTCACGCTGTTCGTCTCACTTGAGCAAGTCACTGTGGAGCATCCAATAGTGTATCAGTCAACATTTGCTGCACATGTCATTCTTGGAAGCAAAACGAGGAGATTTTGCTCACCAAATAACGTACAATTATGGCCAAGTCTTTTTGCTCATGGTGTGACTATAAGTCACCCTTTGGGAATAAGATAATTATTTCTAATTATATAAATCTTTTTTTCTAGAAGTTCAGAAAGGAAGGAGAATCTGACAATTGTGAAATTGAAAATGTTGTTTTCCATCTTGAGGTAATTTTTTTTGACTACAGGAAGTCTTCTTAATCATCATGTGTTATTCCTATTTGTTGTAATCATGGTGTATTTAACATCTCTGTTTTTGAAAACACATTGGCTACTTTTGAATTATATATTTTTTTATTACATTCTCTTCGTCATAGAGGTGCCATGTCAACATGATACACTGATAAAATGTCTCTACAGTCAATGCACTTGAGACCGCTGAAGTTGAGCTTTTTAATTCACTAGCATTATTGAAACTGTTTAAGAAATTGCTTTACAGACATATGAATTTAGCTTCTGAACGAAGAACTGAACACAAGAGGAAACCATTTTCAGTGTCACACTACAAAGGTCAGAGCCGTGGGTTTCTCCATGTTGTTTCTCAATTACATTGCCATAAAATGTTTCCAAGTGTTGAAAAAGGTCAGACTTGCACCATAAGGCCCATTTAGCCAATAGATGCCATTCTGTTCTCATTGTCAAACATTTTTGCTGTTTCAAAGCAAATGGTGATATTTCTGTTTTTAAATTACAAAGATCTTGCGGTCGCTGGCTATGCATGTTGCCTGATCATAAATTACTTCGTGCTGTATGTATTATGTCTAGTATTATCGCAGGAAAGCATTTGACCTAAAACAACAATGCTGACGCAGCCATTTTGTATTCTGAGGTGAATGTTTAATGAAGTTTGATTGAATTTTTGTATAATGTATCACTTTGACACTTTTTGTTTTTTTAAATAAATTAAAAATGTTTTTGAGAAACCTTTTTAAGAAAAAAAAATCTCAAAGAAAATGTCAGACAAGATGCATATTTCTCTTTTATTTTTTAAAATATCAACAGAAATAGAAGTGTGATATTGCTGTAAATCTGAGCAGGAGAAATACATAAATGAGCTTACTTCGATAACGGGTTGATAATCCTTTAAAGTTAAACTCTCATTCAAACAGTCACTTTTGTAAATTGCACAATAGTAGCACATATGAATTGTTTTTTACATGAACAAAACAACGAAAAAATAACATCTCTTTAAATAAGAGCAAGACAAACAGCAAATAAATGCTCAGGAGAAAAGGCATCTAAGCTTATCTGTACAGTTTACTGTAAGACAGATGGAAAAGGTACAACAGCTCACGGTTATGTATTTATAAAGGCGTAAATAATCCTCTAATAAAATTGAAAAGTCTAAAAGCGTGCACATAAAAGAGCAAGGCTGTTCGGGCAGTGCTCGTGTCCGTGATTGAGCTGCCCTGACTACCTTGAGCCACAATCGCTAAAGCCACATTCATTCGCTCAGTGTACCATTGAATATAATTACATTTTCCTTCCTAAACTTGCACTTTTAAAGCTTCACACTACAATCAAAGCAGAATTTCTTGTATTATAAATTGCTTACTATTTATTTCCTCAGGTACATCCCATCGGATCATACTTCAAATGTCAACAAGGCAAGTAGGATGTCGTTTCGAACACTGACTTACCCACCGAGCTGTGAAATCCAAGAACCTCAACGCTCATGACCCAATTAGCAAAAAGCTCGAGGGGGAGGTGAAAAGACTGAATTGCTTCTAACATGGAAATTGGAACAGCGGAAAACACCTACAGGTAAGCAAAGGCTGTCGAACTCAACAAATAAAGAGATTCGACGAACAGCGGGAGGGGTTAAAGGTCACCAGAGTGCGAACGCGACCCCTCCAAGCTAAAATGGACCTGATAGATAACCTCTATTTGGCCGCCTAATGTTACACTAGATGCCATTTCAGAAATTCAACCGCTTAAGAAACTGAGATGATTCCATCTCTACACCCAGAAGTCTTTCGTTCAAGCTTTGTGTTGAGTAAATCCAGATCATTAGTCCAACTAACCATAACCTGTCCTATAACCTAAACACAAATGACTCCTCTACCATTATTAAAACTCAAATTATTTGGAGGGAGTCGAGGTTAAAGGGCTGAGATGTGGGAAGTTAGGATTTAGCTTTAGATAATGGCTGGGATCGGTGAGCCAAATGACTAAAAGTTCAGTTGGTTCCTGTTTGGATGGGGACGGGAAAGGGGATAGGGATATTTGCAAGGGAGAAGTCACAAGAGTTCAGGGTAGGTTGTATCATTGTCAGAGAGTGAAAGGCAATCGTTTTGCCATTTTTTACTGAGGACACGCAGTTCCAAATGTCTCCTGGGAGGCGTAGACCATGTACAGGAAGCCATCCTCGTCTCTCTCGCGCTCGTAGACCTCAGAAATGGCGGTGGACACAGATACCATGCTGTGACCGTTGACAAGCAGGAAGAAAGCTTGGTTGGAGTTGAGCTGGAGGCGTCTCCTATTGAAAATGCACATGAACCAGAGATGCGTTAGTGAAGTTAATAATGAAAGGCAAGAAGTAGGTATTATCTTGATATTACCTGATTATCTTAATAAGTTCGCTCATGTTTACGTGGTCGGGAACTAAAAACTTAGTTTTGTCAAGAATCGGCAGTTGCTTTTCTCCCTTGTATCTCTCAATGATGACCTGAAACAAAACCAACAAGCTAAACATTAGCATATATGCGTATTTATTTAAATTGGATAAATTGTTCCAAATAGTATGTATGTGCTCTACTGCTCTAAAGTTTGGGGTCAGTAAGTTTTTAAAGAAGTATCTTGTGCTAACTAAGGTTAAATGTATTTGATCAAAAGTACAGTAAAACAGTAAAATTATTAAAATAACAGTTTTCTATTATATATTTTAAACTGTAATTTATTCCTGTGATTGCAAAGCTGAATTTTCAGCATCATTACTCCAGTCATCAGTGTCACACGATTCTTCAGAAATCATGCCAATATACTAATTTCCTGCTCAAAAAACATTTTTTATTAGCATTAATGTTGAAAACAGTTGTGCTGCTTCATATTTTTGTGGAAAGCATGATAGACATTTATTCCAGTTACATGTACTATATTTGACCACTTTTTGGTCCAGCTCATTGTTTTAAAACATTTAAATTAAGTTTCAGAATAATTTTAAAAAATGTGTCCAAATGTTCCCATTCAAAGGAGTTGCCCTGGGTGGTAGTTTGTGTCTATTCAGCAAATGGGAAGCTGACCACTTTATCCTGGTCAGCTTGAATAACAATTGAGACTGGAAACCCTGAGGCATTATCAATAGAGGTGACACCTGGCTACAATAGCAATGACTGGTCTTTAAGAGGCTGATAAAGGCCCTATATATACACATGCAAACACAGGCATTCATATGCTGCCTGTTTTACTAGGTCTATTGACAAGCTTCCTTTAGAGGTTATCCATAAGATTAACCTATTATGCTCAATACACACAGCTGAGCGTGTTTTAAAAATTAACATCATGACCTTGACCTGAAGGCCATCTGATTTTGTAATGAAGTAATTCAACAAAAAACTGGAAAATCATCATTATTACTTACCCTCATGTTGCTCTAAAGCAGTATAACTTTTTTCTGTGGAACACAGAACATTTTAACAAATGCCTCAGTTTTTTATCAATACAATGAAGATCAATGTATGATCATTGTATGAACAAAAATAGTTGAAGCATTTGTGAAAATATCTGTTTTTATTTGTTCCACAGAAGTCACATATGTCATACAGGTTTGAAACAACATTAAAATGATGACAATTACATTTTAGAGTGAGTGAACTTTAGTCTACTGTTTTGTGATGGTGAATGGATGGGAAGCAAATAGGCAATACTATGTAACATCCTAAAAAAAAACGGCACATCTAGAACAAACAGAGCAAATATGACCATATTCTAATGACAATATTCCATTATAAAGACCTATACTGGTAGATACTTTAGAACACTTGCATACTATGTGTGCGAGCATTTTTAATTGGTTATCAATCTTCATCTCCAGCTCCACAGACACAAATATAATCTGCTTACTGGGATCTTGCTTGGATGCTGTTCCCGGATCAGCCGTACATCCTCCACCCGCTGCTCTGTGAAGAGGAAGTAGGAGTGGATATTAGATACAGCAGATCACAATACAGGACGCATTAAACCACAGACATTTTACTGAGCTGGATATGGGTTTGGGTCTCAAGTATCAATCAATTCTCCAAAAGACCAATTTTAATTGTTTAACAGGTCCACGTTAAACTTGTTAGTCCTATCTTGTGGTTCAGTTTCAACCAATCAAGGAAGGGCATCGAAACTAAGAAGGTTCTGTTGCAAGTTGTTGGTGAGAATACGTTTGAGGGTGCATACATAATGATTAAATATTCATTTTCAGTCAACTGTCCCTTTAAGAAAACACCCAACAATGGTTTTCAGTGTTTATGTCTGTTCTTCCCAGTTAAATTGCTTGGACTATTAGTTTATTTCTTTGCCGTTTAAGCATTTGTTCCACATAATTTTCTCTTAACGATTTAATGAACAGAAATGAAAAAAGAAACAAGGCAGGCCTTTGTGTACCAAGCTAACTAGCATGACATGACAGTATCTGCAGCAACCATAAAACAATAAAACGACAAGTCTAGACAACTACATAGACCCCGAGGCCCCCTGTCCGATGCCGCCCGCCCCGAGTCGATAGCCCACCGGTGGCCGGGGATAGCGCCCCCCAAAGTTGAGACTTTGACCGGCTATATCTCGCCGGGGCCGAGGCCTAGGGACTCGAAACTCGGGGTGAAGGTAGACCCCGAGGCCCCGTGTCCGAAACCTCCCGCCCCGAGTCGATAGCCCGCCGGTGGCCGGGGATAGCGCCCCCCAAAGTTGAGACTTTGACCGGCTATATCTCGCCGAGGACGAGGCCTAGGAACCTGAAACTCGGGGTGAAGATAGACCCCGAGGCCCCCTGTCCGATGCTGCCCGCCCCGAGTCGATAGCCCGCCGGTGGCCGGGGATAGCGCCCCCC